TACACTTTGTATGTTATCACTAAGCCGTATAAGAAATTCCTTAGCATCTTGTTGAACGAAGTTTGAAAATTTCTCATTTGTCAATCTACGCACTTCAGTTACATTTTTAAATTTGTCATTAAAGATATAGCTGTCCAATAATTTTCTCACAGCATTTGTCCGTTCTAGACGTAATAACGTATTTCTAATAACAGTTTAATAGACACTGAATAGAAGCGTTAGCATAGCATAATACAAAATATTAAAAATAATAAAAATAAAAACAAAATATTAAAAATTATTTATTCACAATATACATATGCAAATGCCAATATATGAACGCGCTGAATATGTCTGACTTGAACGCGTGTGGGATTACTAGCGGGGCTTGCGTAACGCTCGCGTTTTGTGTATGTGTGTGCGGTTCTGTGTGAGACTGAATTTTAAGAATCTTTGTGACAGATTCTTGCATTTTGAGCAGAGATGTGCAAAATAGGTATCCAAAGCTATTTGGAATAGAAAATGCAAAATAAGTAAAACTTTTTCATTTAAAAATGCAAAATGCAAAATGGTTTTAGATACCTATTTAAAATAGGAAATGGAAAATAGGCATTTTTTAAATGCTTTTCACACACACACACACACACACACACACACACAAAGAAAAATGGATTTTTTAATATTTATATTTTATATTTATTTATATTAAAATTTTTTATTTTTATTATTAATACATATTTCTTATTACTATTTCTTATATTTAAAAATTCATTGTTTTCAGACATTTAGTTATTCTTTTAAAATGACATTTTGCTCTTTAGAAATAAAACGTGATGCTTTTAAAAGAACAAGTTTTTCAAAGAGAGAATCTCCCATTTTTCTTCTGTGAGGTCTCATAATTAATCCTCTATACGAGAAAAGGCGTTCTATTGGCGCTCATAGAGCTTATAGACATGGAGTGGGAATAGCAGCGACGAGCTGTGAGCAAGATCTGAGAGACAGAAGATATACTTCTGTCCTGCTCATGTACTGTTTTTCTTTCTGCGCATGTGCTAGAGCAAGTGCCAAGTGATATACGAGATTTGTTTTAGTTCCTGACAATAACCTGTAAAGTAGCAGCCAGTGCAAGGAAAGAAAACAAACCAACGGTATTTTTTAATAGAATTAAATAAAAAATGGGTTGAGTGAAAAAATTATAAAGAAAAATAATCATCTTATTGGTAAATATATAGAAAAGGTCACCCCCCTCCGATTTCAATGAGCTTGACATATGTT